CTTTGTTAATTGTATAACAGCATTGAATGTTTGTTGTATTGTGTACTGTAATCTGAGTCTCCATGGGGAGATAGGATGGAATATAAATAAAGTATATTATTTGATTACTGTATGTTTTTTTGGCTGTATGGCCATGTTCCTGAAGCATTCTCTTCTGACATTTTGCCTGCATCTATGACAGGCATCCTTATAATAATAAGTATATTATTATTATTATTATTATTATTATTATTATTATTATTACCATCATCATCCCTGGTAATTAGCAAGAAATGCCACTAAATTAAAAGATTACTCCCAAACAAGTGTCCTCAGACGTTGGATTGCTGGGTTTAAAAAATATTTATTACAATATTTACCCCCTGCCGTCTGTCCAAACTATTTTCAAAGTAAACAGAGCCAATTAATGTTTTTTAAAAAAGTCACTTTGCTGAAGTTAGAAAACAGTTTTCTTACTACTGTCTTTCTTGTAGTTCTTTTCACTTCCACATAATATTCTTTCCCCTTTAGGCACTTTTTTCATATCTTTGCTTTGTTTCTCATTTAAAACAAGCCATTTGCAGAAAATGATCTATAAAGAAGGGATGTGGCAGATTCCCCTCCTCCTCCTCCTCTTCTCAGAGCAGGTTTCCTCCCAGCTTTTTTCTCTTCTTTTTCCTCCTGTGAGCATCTGCCCGAGGAGAACAGATGTGGGCACCTGCGGTGACAGGCTGCATATGTTCCATCCTATTCACAGGCATTCAGACGTGGCTACAATGGTAAGCCTTTGTGTATGCAAAGTCACTAAATATATTAATCTGTGTTCCCCAGAGCACTGCTCTGTTTAATTTTTCTCCACCGGCAATAACATCTGATCTAATCCTCCAATTGGCTCCCCGTCGTGGCCCCTCTTCTCCCCCTCTATTACCCCAAAATATGTGGAGTTATTCAAGCTTCCACCTGTTGCCTATTAGAATGAAGTAGGCTATGTAGTTATCAGAACTTCAGAGAGAAGCTCATCATTCATGTTACGAGAGAGTTGTTTCTGTATGGAGGAAAAGACATTTCAGGGCTTGAACACTGCGTTTCTTTTCTTTTCTTTAACCAACTTGTCTAATATGTGGCCTACTGCAAAAGTAAAGTCATGCTGTGATATCCTTCTATGCAAAGACTTTTGCAAGTACAATAGGAAAAAGAACAAAACCCTGCTACACCTTTTCTGCCTTTTGCGAACGGCCAGGAAAGTTCCCATGCCAGGCTTTGTTTATGAAACTCTAGTGGTTATTAGAAACACACTGGTCAATAGGCCAAGCAGCCAAAAGGTAACATAAATCTCCAATGTAAGACTTCGATTTTGGGGGACAATTTTGCGGCAGGACTCTTTTTCTCTGATCGTCCCTTCTTCTGTTTTGATTTTTCTTTCCCCCTCCCCTGGCCACAATACATCCTTTAGTCCCATTGTAGCCGGCACAATGCCCATGGATATCAGGGCTGTGAATGAAGACAGAAGCAGTTTAAACAAACCAGGCTCTTTCTTCCCTCTCTGCCCATTGTAATATGAATGGGCCTTCTGCATTCTGCTGCTAGGAAACCATCTTTTTAAAGCCCAGCTCTAAGAAAGGGAGGCAGAGAAAGAAACCCAATAAAGAGAGAGAGAGAGAAGCAAAATAGGATTGTATATTTTGATGTGGTAAAAGAAACACATTTAAAGCATTGTTTTCATCTTTAATAAATGCAGAAAACTGAAGAATTGTATAACTGTAAGAGAATTGCTCCACATCCTTTGTCTCCTGGTTTAGTAAAACTATATCTATATACTGGTATATAAAAGTCACAATATGTGTATCTTCCATGATGGCTTCCACACTCAGAGAGCAGTATGAATCCCACCAACTATGGATCTGGACCAAACTTGGCACTTATATCCTTCATGTTCAACTTAAACTAATGGCAGCATTTAAGGAGGATGTCACAGGATGATGGGAGTCGTAGTCCATCCCGCATCCGGACAGCAGTGTGAATCCCACTGACTGTGGATTTGTACCAAGCTTAGCCTTATATTCATCATGACCAATTTAAAATAATGGCAGCGTTTCATGAGGATGTCAGAGGATGATGAGAATTGTAGTCTATCCTCCACCCAGATAGCAGTGTGAAACCCACTGATTGTGAATCTGGATGAAACGTGGCACTTATACCCATCCTGACCAATTTGAAATAATGGTAGTGTCTGGAGAGGATGTCATAGATGGGAATTGTAGTCCACCTCACAACCAGAGAGCGCTGTAAACCCCACCAATGATGTACCTGGACCAAACTTGCCACATATACCCATCATGATCAACTTCAAATAATGGCAGCCTTTGGGGAGGATGTCAGAGGATGATGGGAGTTGTGGTCCACCCCACATCCAGAGAGCTATGTGAATCCCACCAAGGATGGACCTGGACCAAACTTGGCACTTATAGCCATCATGATCCTACCTAAAATAATGGCAGTTATACCCATCATGACCAATTTCAAATAATGGCAGCGTTTGGGGACGATGTCAGAGGATGATGGGAGTTGTGGCCCACCCTACATCCAGAGAGCTATGTGAATCCCACCAATTATGTACCTGAACCAAAATTGGCACTTATACCTATCATGACCAACTCCAAATAACGACAGCGTTGGGGGAGGTTGTCAGAGAATGATGGGAGTTGTAGTCCACCCCACATCCAGAGAGCACCGTGAACCCCACCAACGATGGACCTGGACCAAACTTGGCACTTATACCCATCATGATCCAATCTAAAAATAATGGCAGGGCTTGGTGAGGGACTGATAGAGAATGATGGGAGTTGAGGTCCAGCCTAACAATTAGAAAATGGATACACCCAGGCAACGCTGGGTGCCTAAGCTAGTGACCTATATTAAAAAAAAGAAAGAAAATTATATGTTTAGATGAATTTCCTCTGGAATGAAATTTAGGAGGAAGATTCTGTGCCTTTAACTATTTATTTATGTATTTAAAGTTCAGGAATTACAACGGCAAGCAATACTCTTTTTGAAGAGGAAAGGCCAAGCAAAGGAATGCTTCTTTTTTGGAAGGCATGATAGGGAGCCCTGTGACAGAAACAATGGATAATGTATTTATTTAGGAAAAGGCCAATCAGTTGGCAAGATCAAGTGAGCAAAACATATATATTAAAATATCAGATTGGTAGTACGGGTTATATATTAACATATTCATTAGTAGCCACATGTACTGCTTGGGCATCCTTGATGCATTATTCTGAAATGCTCCAAAATTATTATACACTAGCTTGGGGACCTGGTGCTGCCTGGGTTATTAGAGAAAGTGGGTAATGGGGGTTCTGTATGCCAAGATTCGTCTTTATTGGTCACTGGATGACAGTTGCATTGTTTTCAGTAAATGAGTGAAGGTACTGCAAGTCCCATAATCCATGGTCCATCCTCCTTCGAACTGCAGCAGGATGTAGAATGGGTCATGGGGGCACTGTGTGCCAAGTTTGGTCTTGATCAGTCATTGGATGAGGGTCGCAGTGGTTTCAGTGAGTAAAGGTATTGCAAGTTCCATCATCCATGATCCATCCCCCTTAGAACTGCATCAGGATGTAGAGTGGGTCACGAGTACTCTGTGTGTCAAGTTTGGGCCTAATCTGTGATTTGTAGGGGCTATAATGTTCTGTGGGAAGTGAATCGGGTGAAGGAACTGCAAATCCCATCATTCATGACCCATCCTGCCCTAAACCGCACCATTGGGCCTCTGTATGCCAAGTTTGGTCCTGATCCGTTATTGGTGTGAGCCATTGGTGTGGGCCACAGTGCTCTAAGGAAGTGTGTTAAAGTACTGCAAGTCCTGTCATCCATGGTCCACCCTCCCTCAAACTTCACCAGGATGTTGAGTGGGTCTTGTGGGGGGGGGGGGGGGGTCTGTGTGCCAGGTTTGGTCTTGTTCGGTCATTGTTGAGGGCCACAAGGTGTTTTGGACTTCAACTCCAACCATTCCCGACGGCCTGAGGCCCCTTTCCTTTTCCCTCTGCTACCTCGGAAGGTTGAGGCTGGCCAATCAGAGACCATATGCAAATTGTACCACAGTGGCAGCCAATCAGAACGCTGCCACATACACCTCCCTCCCGTCCTCCCTCCACATACAAACACTGACTTTTATTAGACAGACAGATAGATAGATAGATAGATAGATACATAGATAGATAGATAGATAGATAGGGTGCATCTACACTGTGGAATAAATGCAGTTTGACCCCACTTTAACTGCCCTGTAGCTCGATGCTATGTGAGGCACCAGCACTTCAGTATCGACACACCCAGTGATCCATGCACACAATTGTTTTAAAACATTGGACACAATACTGCTTTTAGAATGTGTCCATGAAACGTAGAATCAATCCCGTGTTTAGACCCATCGCGTCTCTCTCTCTTGGAGCGTCTCTATCTTCGGTGCGGGCGGGAACGAGAAACATGCCCCTGCACCGAATGGGAAGGTCACGTGACGGACCAAGAGAGAAACATTCTCTGAGCTCGGGAGAAACAGAGAGGGAAGAAAGAAGGAAGCTGGCGCATGCGCAATCTCGCGCCTTTAAGTGTGCAAAGAGGTTGTTGACACGGAGCTCGGGGTACACTTATCTTCCGGTTCTAATTAGGTGCCTCTAAAAGAAAGGGATACAACTCTGGTTTACTGGTAGGAAAGCATGCAGGGCGCTATGGGGAAAGTTTGAGAAAAGAGTGTTGTGGAAAGTGTAATGATATATAATGTCACTGCCATATAATGCATATATGAATCTAAACTTACCATATACTGCATTATTTATGTTGCATTATTTATATTGTATATATTGCATTATAATTATTACTATTATTTACAGAGGGGAAGCATTGTTTTTGATTTCTCAGCACTGTCTCCAAAGGGAGCGTGACAGCTCTCCAAGGGTTTTCTTTCTTGAGTTATACCCTCAGCTCTGCCCCGCAATGGACGATTAGGGTGGCGAAGGGGAACCGGAAGTTTATCCGCAGGCGCAGTCGGACTAGAGCCCTCGGAGTCGCAGCTTCGAAGAAAAGCGAGGCGGTTGCTCAGTCGGGTCAGTGCTGCCGGCGGGAAAGGAAGCAGGATGGGGGCGGGTGTCAATCTGTATTCATCCTACAGTGTAGATCAGGCCTGGGCCAACTTGGGCCCTCCAGGTGTTTGGCCTTCAGCTCCCACCATTCCTCACAGCCTCAGGCCCCTTCCTTAAGCGGCTGAGGGGGAAAAGGAAGGGGCCTGAGGCTGTGAGGAATGGTGGGATCTGAAGGCCAAAACACCTGGAGGGCCCAAGTTGGCCCAAACCTGGTATAGATGCATCTTTAGTTTCAGCACAGCAGAAGGTGTGCATCTGTACTGCAGAATAAATGCAGCTTGACCCTGCTTGAACTGTCCTGGCTCAGTGCTATGAGATTCTGGGGATTATAGTTTCCCAAGGTCTTTAAAAGCCTCTGCCAAGGAGCGCTGGTGCTTCACCAAACTAATAATAATAATATATTATAATTATATATTTTATGTTAAATGTAATATTACTAATAATATTACAATATAATTGTATAGTACGATATAGTGATGTATAGCGCTGATATTGTACTGTGCTAACATATATATATATATATATTGTAAGCCACCCTGAGTCCCCTTTGGGGTGAGAAGGGCAGCATAAATGTCGCAAATAAATAAATCAACTATAACTCCCATCATCCCATGGCATTGAGCCACAGCAGTTCAAATGGGATCAAACTGCATTCTGTCCTCAGATCTGTCTAAGTAGCCAATGCATCAACTGACTGTTTCAGGTTCCGACCCAGTTTACCTGTCAGAACGCATCTCTCCCTATGAACCATCTAGGCCAGTGGTTCTCAACCTGTGGGTCCCCAGGTGTTTTGGCCTACAATTCCCAGAAATCCCAGCCAGTTTACCAGCTGTTGGGATTTCTGGGAGTTGAAGGCCAAAACATTTGGGGACCCACAGGTTGAGAACCACTGATCTAGGCAGTTAAGATCGTCTGGAGAGGCCTCTTCGCAGATGCGATTGGTGGGAATGAGCAACAGTGCCATCTCAGCGGTGGCCCCTCAGCTATGGAATGCCCTTCCTAGAGATATTAGATCGGCCCCCTCCCTCTGAACATTTCGAAAGAGAGTCAAAACCTGGCTGTTTGAGCAGGTGTTTGTAGACACAGTGTAACAGACTAATTGAGATCCATGGAACGATTGGACGATGCGACGGAAAAATGATTTTAATGATAAGATGCCGAGGACTTGTGTTTTATGGTTTTTATTGTTTTGTTGCTTTTATATGGTTTATATTATTTGTAATGTTCTAACTATATTTTATGTTGATGAACCAGCCTGGACACAGCATATTATTTGAGAACACAGAATTGCTGGACCACACCAACAACCACCATGTCAGACTACACAGAGAAGCCATTGAAATCCACAAGCATGTGGACAATTTCAACAGAAAGGAAGAGACCATGAAAATGAACAAAATCTGGCTACCAGTATTAAAAAACTCTAAAATTATAACAGCAAAACAACAGAGAGGAAACAACCAGGCACAGATTAACACCTCCCAGCAAGAAATTTTCCCAGGCTCAGGCAGGCCTTCAAATGCTAATGAAGGTGATCAGCTAAACATTCACACCTAACTGCAGCAGGGAAGAGCTCCTTGCCCCACCCCAGCCATTCCACAGATATATAAACCCATTGTCGTAATTCCAACAGACCTCACTACCTCTGAGGATGCTTGCCATAGATGCAGGCGAAACGTCAGGAGAAATGCCTCTAGAACATGGCTCTATAGCCCGAAAAAACCCACAAGAACCTAGTGATTCCAGCCATGAAAGCCTTCGACAATACACTTTAAAAGTAGTTACTGTACAATTAAACAGGAAATAACACTTTCAAAACAGGAACATATTTTTTAAAAATTTTGTTACATAGTGCAGTTGAGAAGAGTAATGACACCTCTGATATTGAGTTGCATTGTTACTAGGCTTTGAACTCGAGGCTAGGCTAGAATAAAGCGGTTCAGGCTAGAGCAGTGAGTAATATGTCCATAGCTCGGCCCACGCCTGCAGTTTCCTTGCTTGCTTACTTACTTAGACGCTCCCTCGTTGTCCGAGTATGATGGCCTTCCAAGTGTAGTGTCTTGGTAGTGGATACGTAGGTGACTGTGGAGCCCTATTCTTGATCCACATATTCTTCCACAGTGAGGGCATCAATTTCCAGGTGGAAGGCAGTCCCAGTCAGAGTTGGCTTGATGAGCCTTCCTCTTGGCATGTTTCTCCCTTTCGCCCACTATTCATGCCTTTTCAAATTCCACAGCACTGCTGGTCACAGCAGACCTCCAGTTAGTGCGCTCAATGTTCTCTGTGTCTATGCCATAGTTTTTAAGGTTGGCTTTAAGCCCATCTTTAAATCTCTTTTCGTGTCCACGAACATTCCATTTTCTGTTCTTGAGTTGGGAGTATAGTAGCTGCTTTGGGAGATGGTCATCGGACATTCAGACAACGTGGCCAGTCTAGTGAAGTTGGTGGTATAGGAGCATTGCTTCAATGCTGGTGGTGATGGTTCTTCCAGCACGCTGACATTTATCTGCCTGTCACTATTTTCTATTTTTCCACCGGGTTATGAAGATGATGTGCCTAATTTTGAATTAGTTTGCATGATGATGTTCCAAACAAACACCGATACCCCTCAAATGTGCGGCTTTTTCCATTCGGCGATGAAACAGATCCTCTCAAAAGTTATTTAAATTAGAGAAATTGACTTCTGCTTTCTCAGTGGACCAGAAAGCTGTGTTGCACAAATATGAGAATAATCAAGAGCTGGGGGGAAAAATCCAAATCTTGAGGAAAGCGCGTTGATATTAAACAATTTCCGATTATTATTTTCAGGGTGTGTGGAAGCCTCATGCATAAATGTTTGGCAATGACTCCTATACATTTTATTTTGTGTCATTTATTGGCTCTATGGATAAATAATATTAGGCCATTTAAAGTTACTGTGGGGATGCATTTCCAGATTTTACGTGGACACCACAAATAATAATAATAATAATGATAATGATAATAATTATAATAATTATAATAATTATAATAATAAAGCCTATTAAAATGAAGGACCTCCAGCCCAAGCATACCATAGAATCCCACTTTTGGACCTGGGAAATGCCTAGAATTTGTATATTTTTTTCAGGCATGGATAAATGAAACCACAAATACTGGCCTTAAAAAAGAGCGCACCACTTCCCTTTGAAGCATTGAGGAATGGGATATACTCCCAAACAGAAGAGGGCTTTTTTCATTTTTGGAGTACACTCTAACTTGGTGATCCATAAGATCCCTGGAGAGCCTCAAGGGCAGAAAATGGACCCTTGTGCCCAACACAGATGCTTCCTCGTGCTGCAAGGTTGTGACACATTTTAATTGATGATAAGTTGAAACAATGAGTACAGTTTGGGAAATCTTTGTCCTTGCTTTTAAGCTCAAAATCCTTACACAGGTTGAGTATCCCATATCCAAAATGCTTGGGACCAGAAGTGTTTCAGATGCTGAAACACCTTTATTTGTATATATGTACATAATGAGATATCTTGGAGAGGGGACCCACGTCTAAACATGGAATTCATTGATGTTTCATATTCATTTATACACATAACCTAAAGATAATTTTATACAAAGTATTATTAATAATTGTGTGCACCAGATACAGTTTGTGTGCTTGGAACCATTAGAAAGCCAAGCCTTTACTATTTCAGCTACACAGACAATTTGGATTTTGGAATATTTTAGAATTCTGAATAGTCTTGCAAACTGTATAATCTTACATTGAAACTTTTAGATATCTTTCAAACAAATCAATTCTGGACTTGGTTAAGTGTGCTATGTCGAATCCTAGAAATTTAAAGGGCAAGAGGGTTGTATAACTAGAAAAAAGTTGTATCTGTGCACAAGGTTCCTGACAGTTTTGCTTTAAACGTCTTTCCTTTTTGTGCATTACTGTGTGAAGGAACTTGTAAATTGCAACTTGTGACTTGCTTATGAGAGGCAGAGATTTTTAAAGTGTCAAGCTAGGAAGCAAAGCTGCAGGCAGCTTTTGAAGTTTCAAGTTAACTATCCTTCATCGCCTCCTTGGAGTAGAACATACCAAATGCAACACTTTGGAGGGAATTTGTAACTGAAAATGTGAGAAATCAACAGTGAAAATTACAAATGGCAACCTAATTAAAATGTGCAGTGAATTTCTTTGTTATTTATGTACAATGAGTGGGAATTCGTTTTCACTACATAAAACAAAGACAAGTAAGTCTTACATCATTGCAGACTGGGATTCTGATATTACCACTTTGAGAGAGAATTTCATGGTTTAACAAGTGCTGTTTCTTAATTTACCACTCAGTTGAGATTTCTGACCTTTGTGCTAATAGAAGGGAAAGAGAACGAGCCAGATTTTACCGTTTGGAGATGGCGTTCTAATTTCAGCTAATGAGAAGGGGAGGAAGAGAGGGATACAGATATCTATATAAATAAAAATGTAATCTTCGTTTGTGGGATTAGCATAATTTGGACACAATACAACTATCAGGCCAACAAGTGACCATCACTCATAAACACAGCAGAAGAGACTTAAAAAGCCAAAAACAAAAAAATACATTATAACGCATGTGCAGAACCACATATATACACATATACACAAATAAATATAGACATATATACACACACAAAACACAAATACCCAGACTGGGCCACAGCAATGGATCAAATAGCTGCTTCTGGGTTGCCAGTCCCCTGTTGGAATTTTGACTCCACCAACATGAACAACAGACTGTTTTCCAATAGTCTAATCAGTTTTGAAGGTAGTCTTCCAAGCAGCTTTAACTGCTAATGTCCAAGGAGCCTGTGTATTCTTCCATGCTCCTCTTATGAGCATAGAATTAGCAGTTTTTACAAATCTTACTAAAGTTATTTTTGATAATTCCCAAAATGCCCCAGCCATCATCATTTATTTTTAAATATATCCGTTCCCTTTTTCCATTTTCTAGCCTAAACTAACTAGCTAAAATATAGGAATGCAGTAGAGGGGGAAATGAGGCAGCACTTTTAAGACTGACTGGTTTTATTTCTGTAAGAATGCAACATCTGAAGAAGTAAGTTTATAGTCATGAAAAAAGTCTTAAAAGGAAAATTGTTTTAAAAGTGATGCCACATTTCTTTTCCTTCTCTGCCTTTCAACATCCTTTTTATGCTGCAAGAGACTTGTCATGGGTCCATCATTCTAAAGTATTTCATGTCCATTACACCCTATGGAAGATATACTCCTCAATGTCACAGACTAAAACCGGGGCATGTGTGGCCAACTAACAGCAAAGTAGCAAAAAGTAATGAATGGGGAAACACACAAGCTAGGAGAGGCTGCAGCAGTTTGTTTTTGGTTAAGCCAACTGGGAAAGGCAAGATTCTATCATGTCCTCTCTTCTCTTTCTCTGCACAAGAAGGAAAGGCACAGTTTGAATTTGGGGCCCTTCCACAAAAACATATAACCTTGAATATCAAGGCAGAAAATCCCACAAAATCTTCTTTGAACTGTGCTATCTGAGTCCACACTGCCATATATTCCAGTTCAAAGAAGATAATGTGGGATTTTATTCAGTTGTGAGGATGGGGCCTCTATTTGTAGCTTCTGAAGGAAGCTGAATACAAAAGGGTAGGATGAGGAGAGAGAAACTGGGACAGTTTCTAGGCAGTTGAAAAAGTGGGATATCAGAAAATCAATCCAAACTATCCCTGTCAAATCAGGACAGTTAGGGTATGGGAACCACGTTGTGGGCCACTGGTTTTGTTTTTACAACCCCCCCCCCCCCAATGCTCTGTATTTTCTCACAGTGTCACTGTAAAACTGGCTTTGATTCATCATTGAAAAATTGTTGCATTGGGGAGAATTGATCATCTGTTTGTTGTGTTTTTCTAGCAATAACAATAACTTTCCCATGTTGCATTGGATGCCATTCAGTTGATTCAAAATCCTTCCCACGCACCCTATGTAGGAAATTAACGTGTACTGCACACACATATGTATGTGTGTGTGAAAAAGAGAAAAAGAAGGAGAGAAGCAGGGTGGGAGGTCGAGCTGTTCTTCTGGCTTCCCTTTCCAGGATAGAGAGTCTTCAAAGATTTCAAGATTTTTTTTAAAAAAACTTGAAAGCACACCTCTCTCGGTATTTTGGGCTCCTTCAGTGGCTCTGTGGCCAATAACTAGAAATGTTTCCCCTTTGAATTTCTACTTATTCTAGCATGATTCATGGTCAGCTTCTGACAGATTAGCGGACCTAGAGATGGTTAGAGAGACAGTGGCCCCTTCTACACTGCCATATAATCTAGTTCAAAGCAGATAATGACAGGATTTTATATGACAGTGTAGAAGGGACCTAAATTAAGCAAATCCAGAAATAATGAAATCTGCAAAAGTTCAACCCACAAATGTGAAGGGCTAACAACAAATGAATTACATTTAGCAGAATATTTCATGAAAACCCTAAGTCATATCTCTTTCACAATGGTGTGTCTACATTACTGATACTGTCATCCAAATAAATGTTACGTGTTTCTTCTTCTTCTTTTAGATTACTGAAGAAATAGAATTGTACATATCGCTCAAGATGGGTGTTAGAGGTTTGCACTCATTTGTGACCAGTGCTTGCCCAGGGACTTGTGCAGTTGTCAACCTGAAAGAAATGGCAGAAAATCACTGCAGTCAGTATCCCGGGTCTGACCCTGTTATTGTAGTAGATGCAATGTGTTGTCTTCGGCATTGGTACACACCAGAGTCATGGGTTTGTGGTGGCCAGTGGCGTGAATATCTTTCCAATCTGGATAGTTTCATAAAAGCCTTTATGGCAGCTGGTATCAAACTGGTGTTCTACTTTGACGGAGTGGTGGAACAGAAAAAAAGAGATGAATGGGTCAAACGAAGACTGAAAAATAACAAGGAAATCGTCAGGATCTTTCAGGTTATCAAAGCCACTAAGCAACAACCCAGGAGAAGCATGTTCTTTATTCCATCTGGGTTGGCTACTTTTACGCGCTTTGCTTTGAAGACTCTTGGTCAAGAGACAATATGTTCGTTGCAAGAGGCAGACTATGAAGTGGCCTCTTATGGACAGCAGAACAATTGCATGGGTGTTCTTGGAGAAGATACAGACTACCTGATTTATGACACCTCTCCATATTTTTCCATTAATAACCTCTGCTTGGATAAGCTGGAAACCATCATGTACTCAAGGCAGAACCTCTGCAGCAACCTGGGCCTGCAAGTAACTGAACTTCCCCTTTTGGCCTGCCTTCTTGGCACAGATACCGTTCCAGAGAGGGCCATGGCAGAGTTTAGGAATCAATGTGTTGCTTCATATGGTGCAAAAAGCCAGAGCTCTGGTAAAAAGACTAGCATAATTCCAGCAGTGGCACACTATATTTCAACTCTTCCACGTTCATATGAGAGTTTGATTGCTTTGGCAGAAAATGTGCCTATACTTTACAAAGGAATAGAGTCTTATCTTCTACCTGGGCAGATGTCTCCATGGCTCCCTTCTGACTTTTCAGATCACTCATCAGCCTCTGTCAAACAAGACACATCTCTGTGCATAGATCAGGAGATTTTTCAGGTAATTCAGCTCTACATGACTTGTTGCCAGTGGTTAAACTGGGGCATGAATGCTGCAGTCTGGGGGAAACCCACCCACAGAATAATGACTGATGTGGAACTTGGTGTCAACATATGGAACAGCACGAATATACAGTATGACCCCTGTATCTGCACAAGATATATTACCAGACTTTGTATAGATAAGTTAAACCATAGATAAAAGTGAACCCTATTGAAATGAAGGACTTCATAGAGTCACACTGGAAGACCTAGAAGATGCCTAGAGATAACATATTTTGTCAGAATTTGATAAATGACGGCACATCCCACAGATACGGGAGTCATACTTTACTAGGTTCCATTGGGACTGATGCTAGTAATCATAGCAAGCTTGATTGCTTTTTGTGCTTCTAACAAGTTCAGCAAACAGTTGGTTTGTTTTTTTGGTGTGACATATTGAGAATGTAACAGAACACTGGGTGTGCATAAGAGAAAAATGTTAATTGTGTACTTCTGAACTCTGGCAATGGACATAGCTATCTAAAGAGCCCTTTGTAAGACTGTTAACTCCAGCTTCTAAAGTTACCAGCTGCACTACCGGCTGTTGTACCTTGACCATTCTATGTACACATACATATGATCTACACATGTTGTTTGATTATCATTCCCTTTATTGCCTAAAGTACTTTGCTTTTAGATAATTTGCCCTTCTCTTCTTAAATCCCCATTGGGCTTCCAAAGCTGTAAAGTATAAAATGACAAGAGATGGCAAAATGACTACAAAGCCAACGGATAATATCTTTTGTTCACCTGAGAATAGATAGCGAAAGAACAGCACGTGAGAGCTGAAAGCTACATGATGTATAATGTCCTGAGTGGCGGAGAGGTTGAATGCAGCAACACACTGGAAGACGAATATGATACAGAGCTTCCCAGTCAGGCGCATGTATATTGCCCTGTACGTCAGCATATCTATTCCATCCTGCTGGAGTCAGCAAAAGGTAAGGAGGGCACTGGCATTTATTTTGCAATGTTGGATAAAGTTGGAAACAGAAGAATGACTGCCTCACATTTTTATTCCCCAGGGTATTTTTGGAAGATATTTGTGAATGGTAAAGCAATCTTTTCCTTGAAGAGATTCACATCTGTATGAAATTTTGGTATTGGTGCTGTAGGCAAGTCTTCATGGAATTAGCAGGGAGACGGCCATTAGAATGCATTAAAATCAGAACGGTGTGCTGGTGCATTTTTGAACCATTTAAGGAGATTGTTCTTTTAAGTGTCCGTATAAAATACTGATGAAAGCTGTTAACAATCAAAAAGTGAAGCGGAACCATTGTGTTTAGACTTGCTTTGTAGGTTTCAAACACGAGAACGTTACTGTTTCTTCTTTAGAAAAAGTTGTCAGCTCTATGATTTCACTCTGGAGTCAACCCACATCTTTTCATTCAGAGTGGCTGCACTTGGGCAGTCCAGTAACAGGGCATTGCACAGCCCCATCATCTTGGCTTAGCAGTGACCGCAGGGCTCCAAACTTGTGATGATCATCAGTCATTTCATCCAGTGGCGCTAATCATAGATGAAATGATTGGAGATGGGTAGGGGAAAAAGGGGAAGTTATTTCTCCTCTCTCCTCCCCCTTTTCAAGTTATTTTGTCATTCTGGCTAGTGTCCTTAGATGCAATGAGTGACGACCATTGCCAGTTTCATGTCCTATGATCACTGCTAAACCCAGAACAACATGAGAAAGTTGACTTCTGGTGGTCCTGCAGTTCCAAACAGGTTTTGGTGCCATTTGGTCATGTGGATGGCATCAGTCATAGGGGCAGCTTGGTGCCATGTAGTGTAGACACCTGCCAGCCACTGAGCTGGCTCAATGTGGTCACTAGTGGCATTGATCTAGAGTACCCCATTCAGGATCAGCATTACCATTTGTGGCATGTGTAGATGACCACTGAATGCTTTCCAGATGTGTTGGACTGCAGTTCTCATGATGCCTAACCTAGCATGGCTGTTGTGGCTAGGGGTGATGGGAACAGTAATCCAAGACAGTGGAGAAGGGCAGGCTGTGGAAATCTGACATAGGAAAACCAAAATATATAGAGGTTACATTACTGTGCATGGAAGTCATGAGAGTGTTTGTTTAGCTCTGTTAGGAAACCACAGGAAATGCACAGTTTGGAAATGTTTCCTGCTGGTTCCATCGGAATGGAATGAAATGTTTTGGCAACACTCCTAATCTTCATGATCTGGCCAGAAAGACTCAGCATTCTTATACTTGATTTTGAAATACTTTGGGTCCCAGAATAAACAGTAAGGGGAAGATATCAAAGAGTGCATATACAGTGCAAATTTAAATTGATTTGAAACTGGCTAAACTGGGAAATACATCACCCAACAAACCCTGGGAACTGCAATTTTGTGAGTGTGCTGAGAATACCCTGCCCTTTTCATAGAACTGCATTCTCAAAGTTTTGTTATTGAGAACTATGATTGCAAAATACTCTTTGAAACATTGTAGCCTAGGCATACTCTCAATAAATACAGAAACAACAGACAGAATAACTCTGCAAGTCTGTTATTACAAACACTTACTGGCTGGTGCAGTGAGCATTTAAATCAAAGACTTCTGGAAATTTTGTGATCTGATAATTTGGTAAGAAAGATCATGGGAGACTGATATTTCTGTTTGATGTTTTGTCTTATGTCTGATGTAACAGGCTGCGTTTTTAATTTAATTTTAGTTGTTAAGTCATAATTTGTTTTTATATGTTGGGTTGTCAAATTTCTTTACTATAGATGTATTCTTGTTGTGTTTGGGCATTGAATGTTTGTCTTTTTTGTTTGGAATCTGTCCTGAGTCCCTCCAGTGAAATATAAATAAAATATTATTATTATTATTATTATTATTATTATTATTATTATTATTATTATTATTATTATGACACAAAATCACAGTATATATATATGCTGGATTTCATATCATGAAATCACAAGTTGAACACTTCCCCAATGTCTAGCACTGTGTGATGTATTTTCGAATGATGTGCGCAGATCCAAGTAAGGTAGCCTTTTGCAGTTGACAGATCGTGATTTTGTCAATGTTTATTGTTTCCAAATGCCCGCTGAGATCTTTTGGCACAGCACCCAGTGTGCCAATTACTACTGGGACCACCTGTACTGGTTTATGCCAGAGCCTTTGCAGTTTGATTTTGAGGTCCTGATAACGGCTGAGTTTTTCCTGTTGTTTTTTCTCAGTGCAACTGTCACCTGGTATGGCAACATCAATAATCCAAACTTTTTTCTTTCCCACAATCATGATGTTTGGTGTATTGTGTTCCAAAACTTCATCAGTCTGGATTTGAAAGTCCCACTGTATTTTTGCCTGTTCATTTTCTACTACCTTTGCAGGTTTATGATCCCACCAGTTCTTTACTACTGGCAGGTGGTACTTGTGACATAAGTCCCAATGAATCATTTGGGCCACAGAGTTGTGCCTCTGTTTGTCGTCCATTTGTATGATTTTCTTGCAGCAGCTGAGGTTTGTATTTTGATTCTGTAGCCCACTTGTCAATGGATGTCTAGAATCAGCAGCATCCATCGGGGTCCTTTTTATCCTGGTCATCAACTGAGTCAGTATAGACTTCATTTTGGTTTGTTTCTCCATAGTGCGAATGGGTTAAGTGCTCTTAGTTCCACTCCTCAGCTGAGACGTCTCTGACTTGGTTGGATCTGCCGGTAGTTACACTACCACCAGCACAGCTCTCAGCATCCTTGGAGCAGATTGTTGTTGTTGTTGTTGAAGTAATTTAAGCCAATATTGCAGCTGGATCTTACTACCTAAATATTCTAAAAGGCATCAGATCATGTCTGATTTTGGAAGTTGAGAAGGGTCAGACATGGTTAGTTCTTGGTTGAGGGGCCAGCTATAAATAGCGGGTGCTATAGTCCATATTTCAAAGGAAGGAATTGGCAAAACCATATTGAAATATAAAACCTACAACACTGGTATTTGTTAGCAATCTCCCATCTAAATACTAATCAGATCTGATCCTGCTTAGCTTCCAAGGTCTCATGGGCTCTAGTGCCTTCATGTAGTTAGGCCCCACACCTAAAAGTTAGGAGGTTTTTTTCATACAGGGTGGAATATCCATGTTTCACTGCTAAGGTTGACTTTACTTATTTGGCCTACCAAGAACAGTGATGTACCTAAATCAGCATGTATTGCTATCTGTCTTGTCACAACAGTGCAGTGTCTTAGTTGTTTATCTTTTCATCTCTAAATTCTTGTTTGAAATTATTGTAGTAAACAATTTGGCTCTAAATATCCTAAACAGTTTATGTTGGTAGAGGTTTCCAAGCTAATGGTGTATTCCTATCCTGTCCTTTATCCTATCCTGATAAAGGTGGAATATTAAACAAACAAACAAACAAACATAATATCCTGTACTCAAAACTGGACTGGTATGGCAGCCTTAATCTGTGTTTTCTTATATTTTATTTATTTATTTACATGCAACATTTATATACCGCTTTTCTCACCCCTGGGGGGACTCAAAGCGGTTTACACAGAGATAATGGCAAAATTCAATGTCATACATATGTAAACCAAATCACAAATCAACACCATATAACTAAGCATTAAAATCAGTATGACAATTAACTATAAGATAAGAAAAAAGACATTTAAAAAATGAAATATAAGAAATAAAACACCTAATAAAACATTAAAATCACAAGATCCAAGCGCATAGACTGTAATTGCTTGTAGGCACCTACATGAATGTATCTGCTCAACGTGGTTGCTCAGATGTTTTATTTTATATATGTGAATGTGTTGCCTGGTGAATTGCTGGTTAAGTGTACGACTTGCCTATGAAGGAGGATGGGAAGCAGTAGCTTAATTCTTTATAAAGACTTGCCATTATCCCAAACAACACCGATCTCACAAAAAGCTGTTGGGATCAGTAAACTGAGCAAACCACTCCAGCAGAAGGATATATGATTCCACTGGCCACTACTATTAGTAAAGTGTCTTTGAAACATACAGAGCTACCAATTGAATCATTGGGAGGTACATCCACACAAGGAGTTACTCTTGCCTGAGGGCTCTTCTGCAATTGGCAACAAAACCCAGTTGATAAGGAAATGACCCCGGGAAAATTGTCTGCATTCTTGCTCTCATCTTTGCACAATGTCATTGTGCTTATTTTGACTCTTGCATGATCTGTACAAATTCCCCTTTGAAAGAGCCCTGTAGGAGTGGGGATTACTGACACTAACCTGCCCAGACATGCCATTGCCAAGATATCTTCCTTATAGGAGTACATTCTTAAAATCTGTAAGTTCATACAGTCATCCTGAGATCACACTTAGTAACCATTTCCAAATAAAACACATTTGAAAATTTTCATTTCTTACTTTCACTGATTGATCCAATGCTTATTTATTTAGATGTCAAGGGAATACGTCCTGTGGTAAAGGAGTGGTTTGTGTATCCTGGGAATCCTTTACAGCAACCAGATCTGGTACAACCCAAACAACTCCCAGGTAGAGTGAAATTTCATCTTGGTTTTGAACTTGCAATCAGTGTGAAGTGTTTGACTATTAAAAATATGTAATGATGGTTGCATTCTTATTCGCTGAGACAGTTTGGTTCTGGAGACCCAGAGAGTTTAGAAATGTCAGCTTACATAAATGAATTTAATTTTGATATGTTTAATATTCCAGGCTGTCTTTATAACCCCTCAGGGAGGCTTAAGACTTATAATAACTATAAACATCAACCAGTAGAATTCCACGTGTTAAAAACAAAAGGACAGCAGTGCAATAATGAAAGCTTCATGGCAGCTAGTGCAGTGTCTAAATAAAACATTGGAAAGAATCCAGATATAATTCTCATATTCAATTATTCTCACTGACTTAATGAATGATACATTGAGGGGGTTTTTCTGAAAAGGATTTTTACACATGTAGGATGCCACTCTCATTAAAGCCTTGCTCTATATCCTACCCCAGCGTTTCTCAACTTGGGGATTTCAGAGGCATCACCAAAGACAATCAGAAAACATATATTTCTGATAGTCTTAGGAACCCCTTTGGCAAAGAAGGCTGAAGATCTTTCTACCTGTCTTTCTCAGGAGATGGCGAATCCTCCCACCTCTGCTGTGATTGGACAGCCTCTCAGCTAGCCTCTCAGCCAAGGGCAGGGCTGTTTCTGAGACGCCAAGTGGGGAATGGAGAGCAGGCATGCTTAGCACATGGCAGCATGATGAGCATGTGCAAGAGAGGGAAAGTGTGCAAGGCTGGAGGGAGGCTTGTGCCAGCGAGTCTCTTCAAGGCATGGGGCTTCTGTGTGGGGAGTTTGACCCAATTCTATCATTGGTAGGATTCAGAATGTGCTTTGATTGTAGGTAAACTATAAATCTCAGCAACTGCAACTCCCAAAAGTCAAGGTCTATTTTCCGCAAACCCCATTAGTATTCACATTTGGGCATATTGAGTATTCGTGCCGGGTTTGGTCCTGATCTATCATTGTTTGAGTCCACAGTGCTCTCTGGATGTCGGTGAACTACAATGCCAAAACTCAAGGTCAATGTCCACCAAAACCTTCCAGTATTTTCTGTTGGTCATGAGAGTTCTGTGTGCCAAGTTTGGTGCAATTCCATCACTGCTGGAGTTCAGAATGCTCTTTGATTGTAGGTGAATGATAAATCCCAGCAATTACAACTCCCAAATGACAAAATCACCCCCCCCCCCCAAACTCACCAGTATTCAAATTTGGGCGTATCAAGTATTTGTGCCAAATTTGGTCCAGTAAATGAAAATACATCCTGCATATAAGATATTTACATTACAATTCATAGCAGTAGCAAAATTACAGTTATGAAGTAGCAACGAAAATAATTGTATGTTTGGAGGTCACCACAACCTGAGGAACTGTATTAAGGGGTCATGGCATTAGGAAGCTTGAGAAACACTGTCCTCCATACTTTGCCTGCTCTTATAGGAGGTCTTCATTGCTGTACAGGAAGATTTATGGCAAAGGGTGCATGAGCTTCAGCTATGAAGGCATTTATGGACCACAAATACCATGTCATCTTTTGGGTGGAAATACCATTTGAATCCATTTTTTTTCCAGCACTCTGGTTCTCACCAGAATTGTTTTGAAAGGAATAGAACAAGAATATTTTCATTAACCTGGTGATGTCACTTTAGCAGACCATATGTTAGACATTAAACCAAAATTGTCCTATGGGAAAATGTTAGTAGGGTTGAGTAACATTGTCCCAGCATCATATACTTCATTAACTGAGGTTTGTCTGTAATCTGAGCAGTACCAAGGAGAGCAAGTAGATTGCCCTGATACGTAAAGTGATTGATTTTTCTTTCCATTATAAGTGGAAAGAAATAGTACTTCACAGGTCATTTGGAAAGAGCCCCAAGCTCAAGAGTAGAGCACATGCAACCGTTCCAGGGTCACTCTGGATTTCCATGGCAGAGCAGAGATGAGAACGATTTGAGTCCCCCCAGGGGTGAGAAAGGCGGTATATAAATACTGCAAATAAATAAATAAATAAACGCTGGTCTCCAGAGTTCTAGTTCCATGTTTAAATCCAAGCTTCTCGTTCATCAACGGTTCAGCAGGTACTTTGATGAGAAACATTTTATCTATCCTATGAGTGGTTAGAGCAGGCATAACTTTGGCCCTCCAGGTGTTTTGGATTTCAACTCCCATAATTCCTAACAGATGGTAGGCTGTTAGGAATTGTGGGAATTGAAGTCCAAAACACCTGGATGGCCAAAGTTTGTCCATACCTGGGACAGAGCAACGATCTCAATTTACCACTCCTGGAACTTGCTTGTAAAAAGCGATATTCTTGCACAGAATAAAAAGTGCAAGGTTTTGTATAAATATGAAGCTACATTGGTTTCAAGCTAACAAACACCTGTATATTTGTATCTGTATTTTATTTTATGAGGACTAGATGCATGTTGTATGTTGTGTTTGCACTGTCTGTTTTGATAAGGCCAACTGGCTAATCAATAAAAATTGTTGTTGTATAAATATGAGGAACTTCAACCAAAACCACCTTGAAAATAAATCCTTTCCCCCAAAACTGGGTTTTTTAAAGGCACATGCTAGAAGAGAAGAAAAAGAATTTCAACGTTTATTTTTAGTGTTCTGTTCCAAAACAAAGATTTTTCTTTAAAATCTTCAGGCCATGTTTCTTATGTCTTCAGTTCTCCCATGAAGCTTTTATTTTCTTCTACATGAATCCATAGCATACCAAATAAGGAGCTTGGCAGCATGTCGCTTTTACATTTTGGAATGCTTTGGTAGGAGGTTAAACTAATCAGACTCATAAAAACGAATATCATTTTGCTTACTGGTTCAAAGACTGTTTTGGAACATCTATAAATTTGCACCCAACTTCTTCCAGCAAGATAATTTCTCCACCCCTTTTTAAGGTAACAAAGATACAGATGAAATTCTGCTCCATTGAAATTAAAGATATGCTGCTCCTTAACACAGATGTGTTACATAGTTTTTAGGCCCAGCTACTGTTTTTTCATATATATTTTTCACTTACATTCATTTATTGAAATATCTATATCTTATCCTGTACCCAAAGAACAATTTAAAAATATAAAGCAATTTAAAATGGTAAAGTGGTAAAATAATTTAGAATTTCAAAACATATTGCAATATATAAAAAGTTTAAACAGTTAAAGTCATGTAAATATCAAGAGATCAAATCATTAGATTGCTAAGACTTTCATAAAAAGTTTTGTTTCGGCACCAAAACAAAACTCTATTCAATTGTAGTCATGTTCCTAAGGAAAGATTATTCTTGAACAGAGCTTCTTTCAGCCCCCCACAGTTTCATCACAAAGCCTTAAGTTCTTGAAGAGGTATATACAGTGCACTATTGGTATCTGCTAGGGTTGTTTTTCCAGATCTCCTGTGGATATCAAAATCTGTAGATCCTCAAGTCCCATGATATATAACAGTGTCAATATTTGCTTTTTGGATTTTTTGAAAAAAAATTTCAAGCCATGGATGGTTGAACCAGTGGGCACAGAATCCATGGATATGGAAAGCAACTGTACATTGAGACCCCAAGTAATTTACGCCTTAAATATTATTATGCTCTAGAGGCATATTAGTAGCCATTACAATTGCTGCCAGTATTGCATAGTATCTATCTGCTCAACAGTGTATCTACTGCATTTGTATTAGCTGGAGCCTCCCAGTTATCTTCAAGGGCTGCTCCCTAATTGGGAAATAATTAGAACTTGAAATACTGAAGCTAAGTGATTCCTGTGAGACAGCATAGTAGAACCGTATTTCCTTCTATGAACAGACACAGGCTCTGAGAGGGAGGCCCTTCTCTCAGTCCCACTACTGTTCCAAGTGCAGTTGGTGGGAATGATAGAGAGGGCCTTCTCGGTGGTAGATCCCCAGCTCTGGAATGCCCTCCCTAGAGAGATTAGGTTATCCCCCACTCTCCAGACCTTTTGGGCTAGCCTAAAAATATGACTTTTTAAACAGGCCTTTGACCTTGAGTAGACTTCAATGGTTGTATGTGAAGACTTAGTGATTGTTCACTCTGGCACTTTAGCTCATTAATTGAAGACAGCCAGTTTTATCCGCAGGCACTACTGTGTTTTATAAATTTTACATTTTTATTATGTGATGTTATGTGTGTTTGCTGTGTTTGCGGTTGTAATTTTTTGTTGTTATTGTTTTTATGCTTATCTATTGCTAATTTTATGTACAGCACTCTGGAGTGTTTTTGTGAGCCTACCCAAGTTCCTATGGGAAGATGGTGGCGGAGTGTAAATAAAGTTTATTATTATCATTATTATTATATTGATTTGATCCTGGAGAATAGTGTTTGAGCCTGGAGAATAGTGTTTGAATCCCCGCTTAGACATGGAAGTCAGTTCAGTGACCTTGGGCGAAACAAACTGAGCATTAGAGGAAGGCTATGGCAAACCTGAATAAATCCAACAAAATCCCATGATAGGGTTACCATAAATTGGAAAACAATTCAAAAGCACATAGCAATAAAGTTGTCAATGTCCATGGGACTTACTTCTAAGCAAATAAGCCAGGCCAGCTGCACACAGGGAAGAAGTCCACACTGACCCGGGTTTGAAAACCCCTGTTTGAGGCAGCTTTATACACTCATAAAGCCCGCGCTTTCAGAGATAGGCACCTAGATGCACTCCTGGAACCCAGACACCCTAACCCCCTCCCCAAAAACCCATTAAAAATCTTTTAAAATAAAATAACTTACCTGGCTACTGTTAACATGCTCCTGGGGCTCTCCTGGCATGTAGAAATCACAGAATCAATCAATCAATGAGTTGGAAGAGACCTCATGGGCCATCCAGTCCAACCCCCTGCCAAGAAGCAGGAATATTGCATTCAAATCACCCCTGACAGATGGCCATCCGCCTCTGTTTAAAAGCTTCCAAAGAAGGAGCCTCCACCACACTCTGGGGGCAGAGTTCCACTGCTGAACGGCTCTCACAGTCAGGAAGTTCTTCCTCATATTCAAATGGAATCTCCTCTCTTGTAGTTTGAAGCCATTGTTCAGCGCCTTATTTATTTATTTATTTATTTATTTAAAAGTTTTGTATACCGACCTTCTCACCTCTTTTGAGGGACTCAGACCGATTTCCAACCATAAAATCACATAAAATCAGTAAAACAACATAATTCATATTACAATAATACATTAAAACAGCAAATATATTCAAAAACTACAATGGTCAGTCGTCATACTAAAATCGATTGTACATCATCTTCCATCCATATCTCAGGGCGCTCACTCATCGAATGCCTGTCTCCATAACCACGTCTTCACCTGTTTCCTGAATGTCAGGATAGAAGGGGCGGTTCTGATCTCCAGTGGGAGAGAGTTCCAGAGTCGTGGGGCCACCATCGAGAAGGCCCTGTCCCTCATCCCCACCAGACAAATGATGTGGCAGTTATTTTATTTTTAAAGGGTTTTTAAAGGTTTTTTTTTTTGGCGGGGGTTACAGCCCTCTGGGTTTTCTGGGCTGATTCAGCCAGGAAAACCTGAGAGGGCTGTATGGACTGCCCCCCTCAGTAGTCCCAGGACTACCGAGTGAGCTGTCCCCACTTGGCCCATATTGGATTAGACCCAGGTCTTTCAGGAAGACCTGGGTCTAATCAAGTACCTAATAAATTTGAGACAATGCAGGGTTTTCCTGCTTTATCCCGAATTAATTCGGTTTTACTAGAAGCACCGAGAGCTCCCGCCTATGGGCCCTGTCTGGGTGGAACCCCAGAATTACTGCTATCAGAACTTCAAAACTAATTTTATTTCATTTGAACTTTTTCAGTTCTCCTCATGATTGTAGTTGTCCCTGATTTTAATACTACCTCTCTTGAGAGAAAGAGCAGATAGAGTGATAGGTAGACAGACAGACAGACAGACAGAGGAACGTTATCTCAGAAGTACCCCTAATGGATGTAGGAATGAAATTGTTCTTCAAGATTTTTCAGCAGTGATACTGTTCGTTTTCATATTCATTTGGATAAGAAAGCACATATCTTCTCTGAATTTGTGGCTTTAATCTATAGAAAGTCTTACCAAAGAAATCTGACCTGAGGGTGACAGGAAAAATGTTTATTTTCTGTTTTATCTCTGTGGGCAAAAACACCATTTGGTTAAGAGGGTTTTGTTTGCTAAGCAAACAAACAGTTCTTACACCTATTGTTTGACACCTCAGCACCATCATCATTTATAGTAGCCAAGTGGTTCATCCAAAGGAATGCAGTCTGTATGTATAATTAGGAAAGAAAGAGAAAAGTGTCACCGAATTCAGTGTAATCACTCTAATTTCAGAACTGTCACCTTTGTTTTACTGAAGAACAAAATTTCTAGTGTTTCTAATGAGAGGGGTTTTTTTTTCTAAATGCAGCATACCAGGGATTGTCTTTGCATTTTGTGTTTATTTTCTAGTTCATTGGTAATTATGTATGAACACGAATGGTTTCAAATCAATGTTTTTTAACGTTTGTACAAGATATTGTCTGAATTTCTATTAGAAACTGCTTTGGGTCCCTTCTTTGGGAGGTAGATAAATAAAATAAAATGGAAGTTCTTAATACAAACTGAGTTATTATACTTGCTGTTTTAAGTAGGCAAGCCAATGTCTTCTGGCCCAACTCAATGCTCAATGAACAAAGCTTGCCATGGCTTGCTTCTAAAATAGTTCGAACAGTGTATTTCTTTTGTAGGTAGGACTCCTGGGTTAAGATCACTATGGCTCAACAAGGGTCCAGAGGCCGAAAAGCAGTGCCATCACACATTTCTTGCATGCTTTCAACTGGAAGATGTAGCAGAAGACCTCCAGGCCTTAGAAGCCTCCACTGAAGCTGCCTGCTCCTTGCTGATCTACCTCACTCTACAAGTAAGGAACTCCTGAATTTTGTACATAAGATCTTCTCTTTTACTGCTAGATCAGATTAGTTCAAAATGTATCTCTAGTAATAATAATATTTGGGGGCTTGGGGCAGCTTACAAAACACTCTAGTGTGCACGTATAACATACAACCTGTAAAAACGGTACAAAAGTATAAAACAAGTCACATAAAATTATAATAACAACCCCCCGTCAACACATGTTAGCATAAAATCAAAACAATACAATTTTAAAACAACAGTAGATAAAACTAACTGCCATCAATTCGCAGGTGCCAAGTGTCAGCTTCATATGGGCCCATTCAGCCTACTCAGGGCCAAAGTCCTACTCAGGGCCAAAGTCCATGTTTTCAGGTTGGAACAGAAGGATTGAAGGGTGGGGGCTAATCTAATCTCTTTTGGAGGATATTCCAGAGCCAGGGGGCCGCTGAATCCAGGAGAAGGCCCTCTCTCTTGTCCCCACCAACTGCCCTTGAGATGGTGGTGGAACTGAGAGGAGGGCCTCCCTTGTCGATCTCAGAGCCCATGCTGGTTCATTGCATGCAGTACAAACTAAATCCCACCCATTCTATTTTTTCAAAAACAGTAGTATGTTCACATGAAACTCGGTTGGCTGTTATGTTGTTAAAGGAGAGTGCTCAATATTGACCTCCTCGTAACCGTATGTTTATTATTGCTTTTTTTCATAATCAACTATGATTTGTGGACTAGACCCAAATAAGCCCTTTTAGATAAGAGAGAATCCAAAAGGTAAACATGTGAAGGAAGAGATTTCATTACTTAAAAGCACAATGCGCATTGTGCTTACCAACAGATATTCAGGTGTCTATCATTATAAAATTCTGAATAATACATGAGTGAAGTTCATTAAACAGAGTCTGAATGAGGGATGGTGAAGGCACTGGAACTGAGGCAAAAAAAACCAAACTAAAGTTATGACCACTTATTTTATCTAGGTGGGATTCTAAATAAATTGAGGTTTTAAGTAAATGCATGTGAATGCAAAACTGTCATAAGACGGACTTTCCTGGAACAAGGAATTTAGATAATAGACAAAAGTATGACCTTATCCCATTGCTCTAGGCTGTGCTTCTATTTTATTTTTATTTTTTAATTTTTCTTTCTTTCTTCCTCCCTCTGTGCTAGGTGGACAGTCTCTCCTTGGAAGACTTGCATGCATTTGTGGCTCAGGCTCTGTGCCTTGAGGGGAAGCCAGCTGCTCAGCTTGCAGACTTGCAGGTACAGGCATGACTCACCTGCTCATGTAATGCCAGTGAGGGTAACCCTGAGAGGAACAAATGGATGGCTTCACATCTGACCTTTTCTCTCACTCAGAGGTATTCAAGGATTTAGATTGGAGGGACAGGATGCCATTTGATTATTCTGGTTTATTTGTCCTCTGGAGGTGCAATAAAAAGAAAGATTCTTACTTCAGTTAGTCAAGTCCCTACTTGTTACAGAGATTCAACATGACCTGTCAAGCCCTGGATGAAGCTGTCACTTTTTGGTTGGTGATTGCTGCCATCTAAATGCATTATTTTGCTTTGCCTGCTTACATGAGATTTCGTTCAAGCTTTCTTTCATCTCTTTAGCTATGTTAAGGTGTAATTCACAATATTTTCTTTTTGAGAATAGAAGTATGCCTAGGCCTGCCACCCTTCCTTACATGGAGAATAGCTGGTCTGAAGAAAAGTTTCTGTTCATATGCAAGCTTTCAGTACAAACAAAACCTCTGAATTCCCAGGGTTTTTTTATATATATATGCCCACCCGCCATGTAAACAGGCATTTTCCTCAGTGTAGAAAATATACCGGTCCTTGCAGAATGGAAACTACTGTCAGCTCTCCACATTTACTGGGGTTAGGACCCTTAGGAAAAAGAAAAAAAATATATGAATGAAGAAATTTCTGTGTTTTCACTTGAGAAAAGGCCTTTCTAGGAATTTCTAGTTCTTCCACTATGATTCTGTGGTCAACCTCCACTGGAAGCTGGTCATAAGGGAGGTGTTATCTCTAGAAATTTCAAAGTGCTTTCAGCATGATTGGAGAAAGTTGACCATAGAATCACACTGGAGGACCTAGAGATTCCTGGAAAGTAAATCACAATAATTGAATCTTCAAAAGTCAAAATTGCCAATGTGGAGGTACGATAAATATCAAGTGGGATCTAGAGCCACCGGGCAGAAGGAAGGTTTTCCCTCTACTGCCCTCTTTGTTTACAGCAAGAGTTCTCTCAAGGAGTTGCTTGCATTTGTTTGCAAGAAAAAGGACCAAAACCCTACACTTTGTTTATTCAGATTTGGCTCAGGCCTATATTTCCTGTGAAGCAAGAGATGAAATAGATGAGAAGTTCCAAAGAGTGAGGCTTAATGGGTGAGAAAGTAGCTATGGGCTCACAGAAAGAGACCATAAGGACCATCCAGTCTATGCAGGAAGACACAGTAAAGCACCCCTGACAGGTGGCCATCCAACTTCTGCTTTAAAACCTCCAGGGAAGGAGGCTCCACCACGCTCCAGGGGTGCAAACTGTTCTTACCATCAGGAAGTTCTTCGTAATATTTAGGTGGAATCCTTTGGACATAGCATCATGGGTGGTCTCTGTACTTATCTCATTGAGGAACCACTGAACAAGGTTTTGAGCTGCCGCCTCTAACACAATAGCAATATAAATAATAATGCTCTTGGGCAGGCATGTAGCCGGGGGGGGGGGGTGTTCAGCCCCCCCCCCCCAAATTCTCATGGTGGTCTGCGAGAAGGCCTTACTGGTGCATTATTTAAACTGTTATGTTTATTCATATCATGATCTGATCACCATGCTCAATATATCCCATATGCATGGGGGTATTGGGGTAACAATACAAAAGGTTTGCTAGGGTAGACCCTCTTTCACTCAGACTCAGCCCCCCCCCGAATCAAACTCAGCCCCCCCCCCCCCCCCCCGGCTACGGGCCTGCTCTTGGGGTGTGGTACTGCTTCCCATCCCATCCCATCCCACATAGTGCATCTCTTCTGGTTTAAACATTAGACTGGCACCCTTCCTATTTCCTTTTCACAAACAAGACTTTTCTGTTTCAACAGGCATTTGATGATTGATTATAAAAAGCCTGTCTCGCCTAAATCATGTGCTGGCTCTTGCTAATTGTTATGCTGGAATGCATGTGTTTAATGGCATGTGATTCAATCTGGTTTTAGTTTTTTATTGTTTGATCTCTTTATAGTTTTATATTTTGTAAAATGTTAAGTATCTTTTTTAAAAATTTGTCGTAAACTGCTTCCAATCCCAAACTGAAAAGGGAAGAGTAGAATTATTATTGCTGTTAATATTATTTTAATTGCAGTAATGTTTCATTGGGCTTACTTAAAAATGGAAGTGAAATTTTCTAATCCTTCATGGCTGTGTAAGACAGGAGGATTGGAGGACAGGAGCCCAAGGCTAGCACGCATAAGAAGAAAGTACATCTTACGTCAGTGCAGCCATTATCTTAGGTCCATATCTTATTATGTCTGAATGCATCCATTTTGCCTGGGGACTGTCTCTGTCCATGGCCTTTTCAACCTTTGCATGAAAAGCAAAATGTATTCACAGGTTTTGTTAAATGTTTTTGGTTTTTTTCATTATTGTATTGTTAGTTAATTTAAATATATATGAAGAGCATGGTTTGCTGCCATTGTTGGGTCTGCTATACTTGGCAAAGTGCTCCAAGAGTACATTAGCATGTATATAAAACAGTGTCTGAATGTAGGGAACATTACCATTCATATATGACAAACTCACACAAATTCTTTGAACAACTGCAAACTCAGAGGCATCTAAAACTGAAATGAAATTGTCAGCATTTGTTTGTATGCATTTCTGATCTTGGAAATGCTACATTTTTGGACTATAACTTCCAAAATCTTTTGGGCAATATTGCTAGTGATTCAAGAATTCAGGAAACAGACATCTTAGGTTCCATCTACACTGCCATATAATCCAGTTTCTGAATCCAAATTATCTGCTTTGAACTGGACTATGTGGTAATGCTTACTCATATAATCCAGTTTAAAGCAGATCCAGATTCAGAAACTGGATTATATGGCAGTGTAGATCCAGCCTTAGAAAAATAACTTTCTTAAGGTTTCCTGAGATCCCATTTACATTCCATCCTTTACAATTCAGCTTTATGAAGCCTCAAGAAATCATTCAGTTTCTGTAAATGGATTCATTTTGTCATCTTTCACAAGAAGAAATCTACACACACACACACATACACACCGATGTCTCAATATATTACAGAAACCAGTTCATATTTAGTTTTTCACATGTGCTTTTGTGAAAAATCATCTTTCTGAAACAAAAGTTGGAGGAGGCATAGGATTTGATACTGCAGCTTTTGCCTCTGAAAAACCTGGTTCAGGCAGATTGGACGGTGTTTATTTAATTATCCTGGCTTGTGATTGTGTTTTGCAGTAAACAGGGTGTGTTTTAATCTCTACCTGTTTAGCAGCTTGAGGCATAAGATACACATAAGGGAAGGAAGTTTTAGAAATCGTTAGGACTTCTTTACCCGACACTGACGTTTTATGGAATGTTTGGTTGCTTTGAACCAGTACCAATGGTGTTTCAAATGCTCCCTTTCTTGATAGCAAGGTAAATGAGCTGCTTGCTTGCAGGTTACATGTTGTTTTATTTTGCATTGTTCACTGGTGTATTTACACTGGAATTCCAGGCATTGCTGTCTCTGCTTTTAGTGTCCTGCCAGTACCTGCCTGGATCCCTCCCCCTCTAGCTAAATATGTAACCACGTTTTTACATCTACCAAATTCATCAAAGAATTTTAGTCCCAAGAAAAATTAGCATTACATCTGCAAGAGAGACGACAAACACAATAGTTGAATCAGTATGGCTCAAAGCTAAAAGAAAGTTTTTTCCTTTATGGCAGCAAAGGTATGCTCTCCATATACTGTAGAAAAACATACTGAACAAATAAAGTGTGAATGAAAAGTTGCCATATTTCATAGCAATACTATGAGTACTTTTCATGCACTATCCAACACCAACTTTGGCCCACTGATATTTGATTTTGTCTCTCTTTTAAAAAGACTGTTATTGAAAATTTTGCTTTACTTTTTTATTTAGTTTACATACATGCCTCTGTATTGCATGTTGACCTACTTGATTCTTACAATAATGTGAAAAATACAGGGACAAAGATGAATTAAAATCAGGTCGGGGGGGGGGGGGGKATGAGCTATCCATTCCTGCAATATTACTCAATTTGAGCTCCAAGTAGTCTTTACCATTCACTAGGCTCAGATTAAGATTAAGGTTGACTAGGCTCAGATTAAGGAGCCCTCGGTGGCACAGTGGGTTAAACTGCTGAGTTGCTGAACTTGCTGACCGAAAGGTCACAGGTTTGAATCCAAGGAGCGGCATGAGCTCCCGCTGTTAGCCCCAGCTTCTGCCAACCTAGCTTTTTGATCAAGAAGTACTGCTTTTGCAGGAAGGTAACAGCGCTCCATGCAGTCATGCTGGTCACATGACTTGGAGGTGTCTACAGACGACGTTGGCTCTTTGGCTTAGAAATGAAGATGAGCACGAACCCCCAGAGTTGGCCACGACTGGACTTAATGTCAGGGAAAAACCTTTACCTTTTTAGGCTCAGATTGCCAAGATTTGCAGTCCAACAAGACCTGAAAGGCTGAATGATTTCCATTCCAGGATAAGTATAGGTGCTGGAAGGCTGTGTGGGATGCCCTGATACCTGGGTACGTTCAATAACTTGGATTTAGTATGAGCATTTTCCTCCCATTTTCAGTTTTAGAAATATAATGCATTTTATTGAGAAAGGCCCTTTAAGTCTCATATAAAATAAATAGATGGAATTAAACTGAAAAATAACAAACACTGGGCTTTTTAAAGCCTAACTCTTTATTCCTTGTAGCAAGCTAGAACAAGAAAGAACATGTGGGAGGGGCAGGAATAGATCCTTACATACCAGAGCTCAACCAATTTCTCTCTTCCCTCATGGGTTAAATGGGATATAGCAACACTAACCAATCAATGCAGTCTTCTCAAAGAGTTCTGCAAAACCTTTGAATCAACCACATTATTAATACCATATTTTAAAATGGAGGTTTGGAAATTCCTATCATTAGAAAGTAAACACACTGCTGTTTCATTCAGTGTGAGTCTGTTTCAGGACAAAGAGATCTAAAATAACCCTGTAGCACCTTTGAGATTAAATGAGAACAATAAATACCTAGCATAAGCTTTTGTGTGAATCTGATGAAGTGGACTGGACTTTCTGAAAGCTTATGCTAAACCTTTCTCAGCCTCATATGCTTTTCTCGTTGAATGAATGACCTTTTTAGACATTTAAATATGTAAAGGAATAGCATATAGTAATAAATAGTAGCTATGTTCACTAACCACAAATGGAATCCAGGGTCTTATTATTTATGTTTTTTTTCCTTTCTGCTGACATAAACTATGATGAAATGAAAATACTTTTAAACTGTTTGAATGCTGATTTGACTTGATTTTCTTATGCAACATTCCTCCTTCATTTATTCCAAAGTGGAAATCTCCACAGAAGGCCACTTGATAGGTTACACACTCTCTCAGGACTTTATCCCATGAACGTCAGCCTCCGTTTCCATGCACTTAGGAAACGGAGCCCCACGGGAGTCCCATGGAGGCCATCACATGACATGAGGATACTTCTGGTGGGAATTTCTTGGAGCTCTTGTTTCCTAAGCACATGGTAAGGGAGCCCGAAGCCCATCTTCAAGAGTTGTGTGTTACCCGACTCCAAACAGATTCCAGGCAAGAGACAGTAGGGGAAAGATGCAGGAAAGACAGGTGAAGAAGTGGGATGGCTGGCCATCCCATTTCCCCCCACTTTCCCCTCGCATTCCCCCAGCTTTCCCCTCACCCTGTCTGATGAAGTCCTCAGTCTTAGAAGGAGGCAATGGCAAACTTCCTCTGAATAAAGCTTGAAAAAAGGGTTCCATAAGTCAAAACCAACTTGAAGGCAGGAAACAATAACTCTAGCAGAATGTTTGACTCTACTTAGTTTCTCTTTTTCTTTTTTCCTCCCCTTCATCCTTCCCAAATTCATCTTTTATAAAAAAAATAAATTACTGAATCTGGAGACAATATGAGCACTTTGGATGATTACAGTATGAAACACTGCCAGAAGACTAGCACTTACAGAATAGTTAGCAGCCCTTGTTAAATCTTATCCTAACTTGTAACGTCGTTGGTGCATAATGGCCTAGATATCCGGGAGTCTGGAATTTTTCCTTCAAGCCAATCTGTACAAGATTGGATGGCAAGAGAAGATAATGCTTATCTGGTTAATTGTGGCTGTTTGAGCAGCAGTCCATGCTTTTTTTTTGTGGCAGGTGCTGCCTAGACCAGGGCTTGAGGTGGGGAAAAGGAAAGGAGTGTGAGTCCCTACATGCTCACCTGCCTCCAACTGCTCTTGTGCATGCTCCCCACACACACCTGTCTTCCTGCCCATTATTGTGCAAGACTAGGAATGGTCATTTTCACATCTGCCTAGGTTTTCAGGTGAAAGGCCAGTGGTGAAACTGAGGTGAATCAAGGAATCAGGGACACTGTATTTATGCCACCCTTCCACATAAATTATATTAATAAGCTTCTTCATAATCATATATATACAGGCAGTCCTTGAGTTACAAACATCCAATTTACAAATGACTCATAGTTAAGAATGGGGGTAAGACAAAAGGAAGTGAGAGAAATTTACCCCTTGGAAGGGAAATTCACTCCTATAAAGGATTATCATGGGGAAAGGTGTCTCCAATGAAGCTTTATCATCAATCCCTGTTTCCACAAAAAGCCACATTTTTCAAAATCCAATTCTCACAGGGACGGAAAGTGAGGTGAAATCTTCTGAACAGGGCACAGGCAGCAAAACAAACACTGCAGTGGTGTTAACCCTTCCCTATGCTACCAAAGCTATAAAGCTAGTTCATAACTTGGGGACTGCCTGTATGTGTGTATATACAACAGGCATGGGCAAACACTGGCCCTCCAGGAGTTTTGGACTTCCACAATTCCTAAAAGCCCACCTATGAAGATTTTTTTCAAACCCATAATGGCCATTAGCAGGCCCATATGGCAACTGATGTCGCTAGTGTTGTCTTCCTCCTTTTCCCCATCTTTTCCTGGCATAGTTTTCAGATTCCCTTCTTTACATGACAAAATTGGAGTGCAGGAAACTGCTTTCTGGGTGTGCCCCAAAAACCAATCCTTTTATATTTTGGGGATGAATTTAACTGGTTTGGGTTTGATTAATAAACACAGCCTCTATTTGTACTGAGTTTCTTGCTCTGTTTTGATCTGTGGGTTCTTTTCAGTAGAAAACAGAAATGTAAATTGATCTTGGGATCTTTGTTTAGGTTCACTCCAGAGCCCTGGCTTACAGTAAATATGAGTTTTGTTCAACAAAAGTATCACTTTACACAAATCTGTCCATGAAGCATGGCAAATAAACCTTTCTGAGCATATAAACTGCTGATTTGTTTACTGTTAAATATTTACTATGAAGCATTAGGGCATTTAAGAACTGGTTCTTCTAGTTTTGTCCTTCCAACAGATGCTGTAGTTGGTAAGACTCCCTTCTTTTCAGACATATAGCCTTGACTAAGCAGGAAGGACTTAGCTTAAGCTTTAGTCTTTTTCTTTTTTTTCTTTTTTAAGAATCCATATTAAGTGTGTTTTCAAAATAAGTGGTATTTTACATTCAGGCAAGTCAGAAGCATGGGAATAGCCTCAATGTTCTACAGCCTGTGGCTGGTGCTAACTCAGTATTTAGTGATGGACACCAAATATAACCACCATCCAGCAGCTATATTTCACCTAAAAATGCATCTGTTTTCTATTGTTTAAGGCAGTGAGTTAATTTTTAAAATATTAAAATATTGTATTATATTACATACTTTCCATTACAAGAAAACAAGAAAAACATATACAAAAGAAGAAGAAGAAAGAAATGGGGAAAAACTCATAGGAAGTAAGAACAAAGAACATAAAGAAAGGAACTTACATTTGACTTCTGACCTTTCAAATTATGGTTGTACATCTTACTCTATAAAATAACCTCTCCAGCTATAAGTACTATTCATATACTTCATTGGAATTTACAGTATTTTGCCATTACATACAATAAGCTTGCTGTTGTGCTCATATATTACATGAATCTTTCATGTTTCATCTCCATTTGATCATCTATCCAAGGAGAAACTATTCTGTTTTAAATTGAATATTAACATTAAAAATCTGTCAAATTATATATTTTACTCCAAAATTTTGTATACTTCCCACAAGTCCACCACATATAATAAACCATCCTGGGTGTAAAAACCTAGACCCATGGATTTTATTCCTGTATTGTCTGACCAGATATCTCAAAGAACCGCCACAAGCAAGATGTAAGCAATAGCACACTACATCATTTTCTCTGGCATCTGCTGTTCAGAACAAACCTGTTTTATTTGCTCCAAACACTGCTGTTGCATTGACTGGTGTAACCCAGAGTTAAGAACGTAACCTTTGTTCTGTTTTTATGTCTGACAGAAGGTTAGTGTGTGCTGTCATATTGAGTCATACACAAGTGATCCTTCTTCTGGTCAGCAAAGAGGAAGAGAGAACATACAAGAAAAGATAGCTACATCTGTTGGATTTGTAATTGCATTTGATTTCTGAGAAGCAAAACAAAACAAAACATCCACATGCAAAATATAAAGGTCATTTAGTGTTTAGCTGCATCCTTCTGTGGTTTCACTCCAACAGTTCACTGTAGGATTTTCTAGTCTTCAGGAATAAGAAAAAATAATTTTGAGAAACTAACAACTATTATTTATGGTCAAGTTGACTTCAGTTTATCCCTTTGAATGAAAGACCTTCAGGAGCCCAGGTCATCAGCTGCCTGATGGAGCAATAGGTTAAACCCGTGTGCTGGCAGGACTGCTGACCTGGTTCATATCGCTGGTTCATATCCAGGGAGCAGGGTGAGCTCCCATCTGTCAACTCCAGCTTCTCATGCGGAGACATGAGAGAAGCCTCCCACAGGATAGTAAAACATCCGGGCATCTGCTGGGCAACATCCTTCTGGGCAACATCCTTGCATCCTGGCCAATGTCACTCCTGACATGAAAAACAAAAAGAGCTGCCCTCAAAAAACAACATATGTTCAGCTAAACATATGGATAATTTTGATGTTTTTCAGAACTCCAGCTAAGGGATGTTCAAACTGTACTGTGTTATTTATTATCATGTCATTCACTAACATTCCTGCCATAAATCACAATCCTGGAATAAGAAAATAATGTCTGCAAAAATGGAAAATTTAGAAAGATGTTCTCCTTACTATATTGTAACAGAAATATGTTCGGTGTAAACAAAACGTCTAGCTGACCTTCTTTCTTACTGAACTCTCACCAGCTTGCCCAGGTTGACTCAAGAGCTGTGCAGCTTGGTTCGCTCTTTGTCCGGGGCCTGTGTGTACTGCTTATGGCCAACAGCGCCTGTGGTTTCCCCTTCAGAATGGACAGTTTGATGCCCTGGCAAGTATTCGATGGGAAACTTTTTCAGCGGAAATACCAGCAGGCTCATAGAGGATGCTCTTTCCATGAGCTCTTGGAAGGCAATGTAAGTGCATAAGCGTAATCACAGTTGTGAGAGAGAGAGAAAATATATTTTTGCTTTAAAAACATCAAAATACTATATTGATTGGCATCCTGTTAATGGCACTTGCACCTGTGTAGTACACTTTTTTTGTCACAAAGGAAGTGAAAATCGTCTGTTGACCATGCAGTGACCAAACTCCCCCAGAAAGACCACATTTTAAGCTGCTGTAGCTCTTAACATGAGCATTAACAGCCCAATGGAGAGCAAGGGGTGGAATGTGGCAGAGCAGAGTTCACCTTTGCTCCTATCACTGAGTATATGGCAATGGCAGAATCTGCTGCAACCTCCAGAGACTCACCAGCAGATCCTGAAGAAGGCTTGTTACTGTATATCCAACTGTAGGAACATATGGGGACTATGTTCTGCCTATGCACACCACTTAGCAATAGCTAGTAAATGGTTCTGGGGAGTAGCTATAGTGGCTTTAAAGGCAGGATAGAGAAGGGGAGAGGGAGAGGTGTCATATTTATGCTTATGCCAAACATTATAACATATCTCTTCATCCAGGATTGTGAGCTATATATCTATTTGTCATAGCTAAGATAGGGACTTTATCTGACTTACTTATCTCTCCATCACCCATAAATGAAAAACCATCTTGCCAAATAGAAAAGAGATCCAGATGGTACTTTTCTTCTGCCACTGCAGTAGTAAATCATATTTATAGACATGATCATTTTCATGATCATATGAAACATTACAAAACAATAATCATACAGTAATAAACAAGTCAAGGTTTATGAAGCCACGGCAAAGCAATATGGCTGCACACCACATTTCTCCACACATATATAGAGTGAGTGGGAAGCCAAAGCCAATAAGTACATCTAGTCTAAACTGGTCTGCATATTTGGGAACTCAAACTTGAGACTGAATTCTTAATTAAGTTTGGTGTGAATTGGCTGAATTTGAAGAACCGTACCTCTCTTTACGAGCTTGTCAAATAAGTACGATAATCTGGGGAGGGCCTTCAACCTGTTCCACCTCAAGTGCTTGTGGTGGGAACAAGAGAGAGGGCCTCTTCGGTGGCTGGTCCCATAGTTTGGAATTCCCTCCCAAGAGAAACCAGGATGGCCTTTAATGGTAACAATAATAGAATGTTTTCAATCCTGTCGAGATAGTTTGTCTCAACAAGACGAAGAATTTGCCTCTGTCCCCATTTTCCTATCTACAGAAATCATGGCTCACTAAGTTCCAGAATCTGATGTCCCTTATTTGCAAAGCATGCACAGCAAAAGGAAGAAACATCCAGAATAGACCGCGACTGACTAGCTCAGTGACAGGTAGGTATCATGTGAGCTCTTTGGTAAGCCCAACTCTGTTACTCCTTCCCACCTACTAAGGAGGCTGTTCAGGTCCTGAACCGGTGCTTGGCCGCTGTATCAGACTGGATGAGGGCTAACAAATTGAAACTGAATCCAGACAAGACAGAGGCACTCCTGGTCAGTTGAAAGGCCGAACAGGGCTTAGGGTTACAGCCTGTGTTAGATGGGGTTACACTCCCCCTGAAGACGCAGGTTTGCAGCTTGGGTGTGATCCTGGATTCATCGCTGAGCCTGGAACCCCAGGTTTCGGCGGTGACCAGGGGAGCATTTGCACAACTAAAACTTGTGTGCCAGCTGCGCCTGTACCTTGGGAAGTCTGACTTGGCCATGGTAGTCCACGCTCTGGTTACATCCCGCATAGATTACTGCAACGCGCTCTACGTAGGGTTGCCTTTGAAGACGGCCCGGAAGCTTCAAATGGTCCAGCGTGCAGCAGCCAGGTTGCTAACAGGAGCGGCGCTCAGGGAATATACAACTCCTCTGCTGCATCAGCTCCACTGGCTGCCAGTTTGCTACCGGGCCCAATTCAAAGTGCTGGCTTTAGCCTATAAAGCCCTAAACGGTTTTGGCCCAGCCTACCTATCCGAACACATCTCTTCCTATGAACCCTCCAGGAAGTTAAGATCATCTGAGGAGGCCCTGCTCTCGATCCCGTCTGCTTCGCAAGCACGCTTGGCGGGGACGAGAGAGAGGGCCTTCTCTGTGGTGGCCCCTCAGCTGTGGAACACCCTGCCTAGGGATATTAGATCAGCCCCCTCCCTCCTGGCTCTTTGAGCAGGCATTCGGAACCCCGGAATAGTCAAGCTTGAGATGGTGAATGACCCAGGAACGGCCAAGACGACGAAACGGATGAGGATTGGAATGAGAGGATATAGCTCTTTTTAAATTGTTATTGCACTGTCTTTTTTGTCTAAATGCACTTAATTGTTTTTGCTTTTGTATTGTATTGATGGCATCGAATTGTGCCGATATGTAGACCGCCCTGAGTCGCCTGCGGGCTGATATGGGTGCGATATAAGTGATGTAAAAATAAATAAATAAAAGCCCAGTGTTTTGACAGTATTTATTACCCCTTTTCAGGAATCAAATGGCCTCCAATGTTTTGGAGTGATTTCTGGTTAAAATAAATAATTTTGAGCAAAAGTTTGCTATTTGTGATGTTTAAAGGAACTTGGTGCAATTATAGTTGCTGTGTAAGCTGTGTGTTGATATAGATACAAACTGGAATTAAGGGGTACATGGTAGATAATGTGAATACTATTCCATGTCATAAATAGCAAGCATTCTGTATAGACACATGGGAAATCTCGACTGGAACTTTATGCAGGAAAATAGACATCTGTGTTTGTGTAAAATGGAACAGTGTACATAAAATGTGTGCTTGATTTTCTCCACACAAGCGTTTTATGTCTGTCGCTCAAAGCATGTCCCAAGTTTTCCTAGGAAACTGCAAAATGGGAATTGCAGGGGTTGTTTGGACTGCCATTATCAAGAGAAGGAAATTATTTTTCAGAGAGACGAGAAGGAGCGGAAGGTTCACACTTTCCAAATCGAGGCAGAACTCACACTTACCCTTACTCTCGTCACCACCAAAACAGGGAAGGGCAATGGAGAGGCCCTCCAACAACTGGCTATTCATCTGAATCTCAGCATTCAGGTAAAAATAACATCTTACAAGATCCTGTTGTTTTATGGGGTGAAGTTATGAAAAACATGAATTGTACATTTAGATCCAACTGAATCACTTCATTTTGCAATATTTGTTGCATGAGGATTTGAAATGTGTTTGGATTTTTGGAGCCAGTTTGGTGTAGTGGTTCCACTATGACTCTGGGTTAGAATCCCTGCTTCGCCATGGGGACCCATTGGATGGATGTCCTTGGAGATGTCACATTCACTCAGCCTCTAAGGAAGGCAGTGGCAATCCCCCTTTAAACAAATCTTGCCAAGAAAGTTCTACGACAAGGTTGTTTTAGGGTGGAAATTGATGTGAATGTGTACAGAACAACAACATAGGCAGTATCCTTCTACAAGTGGTTTTCCCATTTTCACAAAATCACAATCCAGCCAAACTATGGCAGCAACATTAAACTGAATTTGCGGCAAGGTGAGGACCACTGTTTTTTTCAGTTACTAAAAAAAGTTAATTAAACATATTGCTCTTCTACACTGCCATATAATCCAGGTTATCAAAGCAGATAATCCACATTATCTGCTTTGAATTGGATTATATGAGTCTACACTGCTATATAATCCATTACAGAGCAGATAATCTGGATTTTATGTGGCGGTGTAGAAGGGGCATTATTATTTTGTATCAAATAAGTATAAAACTGATAAAAATAGAAGGAGTGCAAGTGGCTAAATATATTTTGACCAAAAATGGGCAACAGCGACCGCAATGTCTGTGGCTTTAAGCAATTCTTCCTCTTCCTCTACACATGAGGCAGGGCCTTTTGGACAAGACTACAGGTGCGGAGTTATTTGTTCTGCTCCACAGTCGCACAAGGGCCTTAAAGAGCCATTGAGTTGAACCTAGACAGACATAGGTTTAGAATAGACTCAGTGAAATGAATAAAACTTATAACTGCCTTTAGTCCTAGTAATTGCAATGGGTCTACCCTAAATATGATCAAACTTGGTTCCACTCCAGTAGAAGTAGGCACTCACATCAGTGTAAAACATTACCTTATTTTCTAAGCTTTCCCCACAAATATATGTGAACTGCCCCTGTTTGAACAAAAGCTTTCTGTGTTTGTTTGTTTTTTCACATTCTTAAAGAATTTCAGTGGCCTGCTGCTGATAGCCTGTAGTTTCAGATTCTAATTTGTACTCCAATTCAGTAAAGTATGGCTGAGCTTTTGTGCAGGATTTCTCTGTAATGGTTCTTGGACATACTTGAAAGTGAGCTTACAATTGCAGGAAAGGCTGTTTGTCTTTCAAGCCTATTTCAATGAGACAATTAAAATATCACGCTTAATTGTCTGTAATTTTCCTCCATGTCTCTGCCACAGTTTGGCAACCCTATATTAATCCTCTTGTAAACACCAGGCTTAGAGCACGTGTTCATTTAGCAACTGGAAAAACAGACGTTTAATTCTCCATTTTAAACAAATGACCTTCTAACCCAGTCTTGCATATGGCCAGTTTTTCCGTAATATAGAAGGATTATATCAACAGACTTGGCCTAGCTTTTTCAGAATATGGAATGAAAGGGGCAGCAAAACCAATGTTTTTGTACTCCCTGAGGTTTTCTGAGAAGAGGCTGAGTTTCCTTCCTGGGAAGAGGGACAGGTTACCCCCCCCCCCCACACACACACACACTCTTACTCAGTTAGAAGAAATGATAGAAACAAGTCACTATTTGCACATTCAACTCATTGTTTCTGGCCCCATCTGCACTGCCATATAATGGAGTTTCATAATGCAGTTTAACTGTAGACTCATATAATTCAGTTCAGTGCAATTAAAATGCATTATGAAACTGCATTGTATAGCAATGTAGATGAACCATCACAGAGGTTAAGATCTTCTGGGAAGCCCTGTTCTTGGTCCCACCTGCTTCGCGAATGTGGTTGGTGGGGAAGAGAGACAGGGCAGTGGTGGCTCCCTGACTCTGGAATTCTCTCCCCAGTGTGATTAGATTAGCACCCTCCCTCCTGGCCTTTAGAAAGAGAACAAAGACATGGTTATGAAACCAAACTTTTAACTAGTAAAGTAACTGAGTACAAGAAGTAAATATGGAATATGAGTAATTGACATCTGGAATGGCCCAGTCTACGAGTTTCGGTCATGTGATTATAATGTTTTTATTAGGTGTTTTTAATTTTTATACTTCATGGTTATATGTCCTATTATCTTGTGGTGAATTTGCCCTATTGTATTTTATGCTTAGTCTTACGCTGTTTGATTTATGATTTGGTTTATGTATGTAAGGCATTGAATTTGGCCATTGTTTTTTTGTAAATCGCTTTGAGTCCCCCCAGGAGTAAGAAAAGCGGTATATAAATGCTGTAAATAAATAAATAAATAAATGGGACTTCAGACTCAACTCAGCATCACAGCAGGCACTGTGAAAACAAAACTCCTCTTCAATTCACACAGAAACACTCTCAAGTGTTGCTCCACATAGGGACTTTATTCCACCTTGTAAGTGAGGCAACCCCAAAAAATGACCAGCTAAAAGCTGTACGGGCAGAGCTGGGTTGACAAAGGACTTTATTTCATCCTGTGGCGTTCACACAATCACTGATTCCTGCAATGTAATGCAACAGTCATCCTTGTTATCCTACTTGTTATTACTTCAGCAATCACAATGCTTCACAGTTCCATAAATCCCATGGCTGGATTTCCTGTTGGGGTGGCAAATCTTTCCCCCCACAGTTTCATACCTTTTAATTATTTTTAAATGGAGCTTTGCAGTTTCACAAACTTTCTTTGAAAAAAACCTCTTCCTGTTTTCATTACTGGGAAAGGGAATGGGGGAGAGCTGGACAATCCTGCCTCCTGATGTCATTTTTGTGCCAACTTGCCAGCATAGAAGTACCTAGAGATGATCACACAGGTGAGTCCCAGGACCATGGTGGGGTTGGGGCTATTAATGGGTTTTTCCTGTCAGTAGTAAGAGACAGTTGTGTCTCATGGAGGTATCAGATTAGTAACAGGTAGTGCACTACATTGGTTTGCCGCTCTGTCCAATGAAATTCAAAGTAGATGTGTTTCTGGGCAATACCTCTTCAACAGAAAATTTGCTATCAGAGGCAGAAAAACCAGGAAAGAATAGGAATAGGAATCTGTGCCACAAAAAGGAGGAGTAGTTAAATATATTTCAGTAAACTTTTTATTCAACACTATAAATATACACAGGAAAAATAAACTCAGGAATTATTTTGATGGAATGTATGTTACTGAAATAAACTAAAATAATTTCCACAGCATTAGAAGAAGGAAGATTGTCATTCTGGTATCTCAACATTAAAAACTACCTTCTTTTTCACCCCTCAGGTTTAAGATACAGATCAAGACATCAGCCATCAAGGGGACAGAGATTCCAGCTTGCACCTCGGTAAATAGCTGTAATAGAAAGTAACAAAAGTCAGAAGTGAATGTATTGTTTCATTATAATATCCGAAATGAAGTTGTTTAGAATTTTAGACATATTTCTAAAAGAGTTGTTTGATTCATTCTTTCCTTTTCTTCATTTCTATTTGCATCTTGCTTGATTATAACTAATGTATGAGAATTCTGCTTCACTAAAACAATTAGAAAAATAACAGTTGGTAAGACTGAGTCCCAGAGCTACTCACTAAAGCAAGGATAGGAATGGTGCAACCTTTCAGGTGTTGTTGGATTGCAGCTCTCAACATAGCAAATGCTGAGGGATGCTGACAGTTGATGTTCAATCAAAATTGGAAACCTATGTTCCCATGTCTGCACCAAGGGTTCCTATCACCTGATGCTTCCAGCTTTGTTCTGCCACATATGGCAGCGAGCATGGAGGGCCCACTCCCATGGAAAAATTAGTCTAGAGAATTGTTGCTGCAGTCACATTAGTCTGAATGCATCTACACATTAGAATTAATGCAGTTTGACACCACTAACTGCCATTACTTAATGGTATGAAATCATGGAAATTGTAGTTTTACAAGGTCTTTAGCCTTCTCCACTAAAGAGTGCAGGTGCCTCACCAAACTACAAATCCCCGGGATTTCATAGGATTGAAACATGGCAGTTAAAGTCAAACTGCATTAATTCTACAGTGTAGCTGCAGCCCTTATTCTTACTTGCCATCAACTGGGTTTCAACTTATGGCAAGCCTGTAAATGAGAAACTTGCAAGACAACCTGCTATCGACAGCCCTACTCAGATCCTTGCAAAGTCAGGGCTGTGGTTTCCTTGGTGCTGTCTAGGTTTAATACATTAAATTGGTATTATCTGTATTCCTTCATGACCATTTATTTACCGTGGTAAGAGAGGCTCACTCATGTAGTTCTAAATTATGAAACACACACAGTTACGTTATTATTCTATATAATTATGCATTATTTTCAAGAGCTTTTCCTTTCTATCTGTATGTATGTATGTGTGAATGTGTGTGTGTTTGTGTCCATACGGTTTCTTCATTTTTGCCTTATCATGGTTTATTTCTGTTTGTAGATGGCCCAGATGACTCATCCGTGGAATGGAATGAAGATAAGAAGTTCTCGTGTATGAAAAAGCAATGATTCATAGTAATAAACTAGTTTATTTTGTAGAAAGAATGGTTAGGCACAATATAACTTTTTAAATATCAGTCATGCTTTGATCCTGATGTTATGCCTTGATGCTTTAAAGTGTGTGTGTATGTATATGTATTATATGTGTGTGTATGAACACATCGAGATGAAAAACTACAAAACTCACAAAAATTAAAGACAATAATATAATAATGCATAAACTAAAAAAAACCACGAACCACTATCATAAACACAGAGAAAATACTAAAATCGACTAATGTTAGGGGATTTAAAAAAGACCCGCCGGGAAGTTATAATTATCAAATACAGGCAGTCCTCAAGTTACAAACAAGATAGGTACTGTAGTTCTGTTCTTAAGCTGAATTTATATTTAAGTTGGTACAGATACATTTTTAAGTGTACACACCAGCCATACACACATGCGCGCACACGCCTGCAAGCAAGCTTTGGATAGCATAGGGAAGGGTTAATACTACTGTAATGTTTCTTTTGCTCTTTGTACTCCTGTTCAGAAGACCTCGCTTTCTCTCCCTATGACAATTGCATTTTGAACATTTTGGCTTGTTCTGGGAACAAGGATTGGTGATAAAGCTTCAGTTGGTAAACCTTTTCCCCATGATAACTCTTTCAGGGGTGAATTTCCCTTCTGAGGAGTAGAGTTCTTCTCACTTCCTATTGTCTCAGCCCCGTTCTTAAGCCTGAGTTGTATGTAAATTAGATGTTTGTAATTCAGAGGTTGCCTGCATAATTTGTGTATGTATGTACAGCAAATTATTTAACATTGTACAGTGGTCATTTTCTGCTGAAAATGGTAGAAGTTAATTGTTGAATGGTGAGTCAATATCATACTCTATCAATATGTATCGTACTTTTGGAAAACAGATATGTTTGTTCCATAGCTTAGTCCTTAAGCTAGCTCGTTGCTCTTGACTGCTCTGGATGAGCCTGCTTTATCACTACTGTGGAAATAAGACTAAATTGAAGCAAGATTGGGTTCTGAAATTATAAGGGTGATTACGGCAGGCTCCCCACATATTCAGGTTTGATTATCCACAGATTTGATTAAAATTTGATTTTGGAAAATCTTGGTTCTCTGGTGACTCTGGGCCCTTCTATACAGCCCCATAACCCAGAATATCAAGGCAGGAAATCCCACATTATCTGAGTGTGAACTCAGATAACCCAGTTCAAAGCAGATATTGTGGGATTTTCGGCCTTGGTATTTTGGGATATAGGGCTGAGTGGAAGGGCCCTCTATAGTCAAATTCCACCAAAGGCCATGTTGAAGAATCCAGAGATCCCTAGAGAGAACAGTCTCTAACTCAGTGGTTCTCAACCTGTGGGTCCCCGGGTGTTTTGCCCTACAACTCCGAGATATCCCAGCCAGTTTACCAGTGGTTAGGCTTTCTGGAAGTTGAAGACCAAAACATCTGGGGATCCATAGGTTGCTCTAACTAGTTGTAGGTCTTCCAGTGAGAAAGATGACTCTAGAGTTATGTGGCAGGGTCTAGAGATTCTAAGGTGTTCTCTGTGTTGAAAAAATAGTTGGTTTTTAATTCTTTTTTTTTCTTTTTTTCTCCCATGCTGACATGGGAGTCTGGAGTCCTAATCCCAGCAAATGTGAAGGGCTAGCAGTGGTACCCTTTCCTTTGCCTCAGATGGTTAAATGTCTTAGGTTGTTGGGCTATAGCTATGGGCGAGCGGAAAGCAAAAAAAGAGCCTTGAAATTTTCCATTCCTTCCTGGAGAGATAGAAATCCTTGTTGGGGGGCGATGCTCTCATTTTATCTCTCCTGGTATCCGCTTTCAAATAGGGCCCAAGAAAGACATGTTAATTCTGTCAATAGGCATCATTTTGTTAAGTTGAGTGTTGGACACCAAGGTGTAGCATTGCCTGCATTCACATCTGCATGTCACAACTGACATAAAGGAGCACTTAACAAGTGCAAATCCCAGCCCAGGACTTTTGTCACTGCCTTGAAGAGGCACATAATTTTGTGTCATCTTACAAACCCAGCCCCACACGGTTACCAAGGCGCGGAGAGGGGGTTTGCATCTGGGAATGGTTGCTTTTGTGGGGGAGAAAATCAGCACATACAATAACTGTCACGATTGGACCATGATTGCAAATTGTACCAACAAAGTGACTGTGACTGCTTAAAAACCGATCTTGGGAAAGGCTCTGCTTAGACATTTTGAATTCCTTTCTACGGTTCCTGGAAAGTGCAGCTGGCCCAGGGCCTTTATCTCGAAAAGCGAAAGGATCATTCCCCTTTGCAGCAGCGCTTCCACTTACTGGGGCCTACCAGTAGCAATTTGCAACAATAGAGGAACAAAGCTGCCATTTGACCTAGAATACAATTTTCAACTAATTAATAAAGTGACCATTAGAGCCCAAGGGGATAATAACAGGAGTAAGAGCAAATTACTGTGCTAACTAATGCTTGTTAAGGGGGTGCAAAGGAGAAACGGTCATTGTATTGCAAATGTCTTGAGGCTCTATTCTTTTTCTCTCTTTACCACCCCCCTCCACCTAATACTCTTAAAGTGCTCCCACTCAACACTTGCTCCTTGTAGGACCCTTGCAAACATGTAAGAATTAGCCCTTCAAAGATCAATCAGGATCTAATTGTTGCTAACAAAGTGCCACCTGGTGAGAACTGTTACAATATACCTTCATTACAAAGCATTCAGTCTCTGAGCCCCACAACTACAGTAAAGGGAAGGGGTGAAGGGAGTGACTCTATTGCCCCTGCTGTTCCTGGGCACCTGCGATGCTTGTAAAAGACTTCAAGGCAAAGGAAAATGTGCTCTTTGCACTGCATTGAGTTAGCTCTGTTAGGTCCATGCTACCTTAGAATGGTTCTTTCAGATGTGTGTTTCTCCATAAGCAGTGTAGTCTCTTTGTTGACCAGTGAAATATCACAATTATTGTTATTATTTTGTGCCTTTATGTCATTTTCTACTTAGGGCAACCCTAGCACCAAGTTTTCTGCAGCTGAGAGCATGTGACTCACCCAAGACCAGGAAAGGGGTTTTCTTGGCAGAGGGAGGAATTGAACCCTGATCTCCAGAGTCATAATCCAATGCTTGAACCACTGCATCACACTGGTGCTCATAATGGAGCCTAATAATTCCAGAATATAACTAGATCTGCCCAAATATAAGACAGTTTGCAGTATTTATGTGTCTTTCCTTAGAAACAAACCAATCAAAGGAAAACATTTTAAACATGCTGCCTTCAGGTGTGGTGGTGGACAGTGCAGTTTCATCTCAAATTTGGGAGGCGGGGGGGAGATGCAGATGCTACTCCAATTGGCTTTTGCTTGAAGTGGAAAAAAGCCCACCTAGACCCATGATGACCTAACCCTGCCTTAGGACAAAAAAGCAAATATAACTATAAATAAAGGGGGAAAATAAAGGAAATATAAAATAAAGGAAACAATGGGCAGCTTAGGAATAGTAAGGGAAAGTGGAGAGAGGATGAAAATCCCACCCCCTGGTATTTATTTACTGCCAACATGCTGGCATAGAAATGGGACCCATGACACTAAGGTAGGTGTCAGAAATGTTGTGATATTGTGAGTTATTGACTGGTTTTACATGTTAATAGGTAAGAATGGGAGAATCATGAGAGGGGGAAGGACACAAGTGATGGTCCAGCTGCAATGCAAGAAGGAATGGATGACATTTTCTATTTCTGCTTCGTAACATCTATGTCAGAGGCAAAAGAAGAGAGTGCAGGCTGGACTAGAACTCGCAACAGCAAAAATCAACAGGACTGACTGAGCATGGGCCTCAGGCAACAACTCCCTGACAGACCCAGCCTTTACAAGCCAAAATGAAAAGAGGCCTATCCCTGGATAGGATATTTTACTTGATTATGGTATTGCTTTATACCTATGGAAGATGAAGTTTTCATTTCCTATTAACACACATACACCTTGCCTTGAAATCCCTTTTGGGTTGCACACACCAGCACAACACTGTCAACTCTGTTTGATTTACTTACAGTACAATGATACGACAATTCTGCGGCAGACTCAGTCATAGCTGACTTTTGTCGAATGCACACTCCTGTCTGTTGACTGTCTTGCTATGATAAGTCATCATTGGAAGGACAACCAGACAAATAGGACCGGCAGGACTGATAAATGTGGACTGATAAATGTGGAAGGAAACTCTGAACTATGAGATAGCGAACATTGACCGGCAATAAGGAGGAATTGGTTTGTATAGGTTTGTATAAAATTTTATTGGTTTTATTGGTTTTTAGCAGGCTTAGATGTAATGTATTGTTGTTGTTTGTTAATTTGCGTTATTCTGTTTTATTGTTGTTGTATGTTACGGGCATCGAATTGTGCCTTGGATGTGTAAGCCGCCCTGAGTCCCCTTCAGGGTGAGAAGGGCGGGGTAAAAGTAAACCAAATAATAAATAAATAATTGAATTCACCCATGGCAGCCCCATATTAGCTGAAAGTCCCAGGTTCAATGTTGGGATAAATCAACACAGAGATTCTACTACCAGGTTAGCAATATGTTTTCCTAATTATGTCATGTTTCGGGTCCAACTGGTTTACTTTGAACTACAACTTGGCAACATCATTTTTAAAAAATGAAAACTCCCTGAATCCCATGCTGGATAAATAACTGATAAGTTAATTTACACAAATTATAGTTAAGATTAACCCCCAGTTTTCTAGAGTCCATCTAGAAGGCAAGCTACAATTAATAATACATGAATGCCAATGCTTCTAAGCTCTTCTTTGCATTGATGAAAGAAAGCAAGCAGCAGGGGGTGTATAAACCTGGGGGAAATATAGTTCATTCTTATCATGATAAATGATCATTTTTCATGAACTCTGAATGTGACCCTTGACTTTAGTTTTCAATGAGCACTGCCTGTGGTTCATATTGTCAAGACTAGAGGAAAGAATCGTAGAAATCTTGAGTTTTTGGTACCTCCGTGTATATATAATGGGAAGTGCGTCTCTTAAGGATTCTCCATCAAATTGGCAAAGTTATTATCAGGTTGGAATAGCTATGCTCTCCATAGT